GTGGGTTTTTATAAGAAGACTTCAGGGACTATTTTGGGTTTCAGGTTTACAGGTTATCTCTGGTTTATAGTCAGGGGTTTATCTAGATCCTATGACTCTAGAGAGTTTGGAGTTCATGAGAATTTAAAATTCTATTTTGTGTTTTCTCCCTTTCGATAACAATGTTCAGTAATTATAACTGGGCACCGTCTAATTCTTCTGGTCTCTTGTTTCAACAGTGTCCAGTCACTTAAGAATTTAATCATACAAATCAATAATTCATGTACTGTGGTTTATAACTGGCCTACACTTGTATAATCTCCTTTTCTCAGCTGTGCTTTAAATTCATCTGTTGCACAACTTTTGTCTTTGTAGCATTTTTATAATGTACAACTTAAAAATAGCTTTATAGATAGAATTTATGTATCATACAACTCAACGATTCAACTATATTAAACAGAGCTGTGCAATCATCACTGCAGTCAATGTTAGAACACGTTTTTCTTTGTAATAAAGTGTACAACTTATTGATAGCCATTACATTAATTGGCTTTTCAGCCCTACCCTTAATCAACGTGATTTTTCCATCAAAATAAACCCAAACTCAGTATTCCATAAGCAATAGGATCTCCTTTCTCTCTCCACACCCCCCCCCAACCACTAGCCAAAATATATATTTTTCTTTTTTTATTGAGTGAGTGAGAGTGAGTGAGTGAGTGAGTGAGTGAATGAGAGTGAGTGAGTGAGAGAGTGAGTGAGTGAATGAGAGTGAGTGAGTCTAGCCAAAATATTTTTAACAAGCACGTTCCAAGAAGGAACATCACAGAAATTCATATAGCTGGAAAAGTCACTGTTTTCAAGCAAGGAATGTATTTAATGTATTTTAAAAGTTGTACATATACATCATAAAAATTCAAATGGTAACAGAATGTAAATAATGAAAACTGAGCGTGGTTCTCCACACATACACACTCACTAACCTCCTTCCAAGAGAGAATCATTGTTAATGTCGTCTTGTATCTTCTTGTAGAAAATTTTATCCTCATATCAACATATATGTATTACTATTCAAATTTAACTGTTGTTGAGAATATACACAGCCAAACATACACCAATGCCGCCATTTTACGTGCACTCTTTGTTGACATTGATTGTTTTCTTTGGGTTGCACAACCATTTCACCCTCCCTTTCTGAGTTGTTCCTCTCTCACTAACACACACTCATTGTCCCTCCCCACCCCAATTTCCTATGTGATTTTTCAATTTGATACCATATCGCTAGATCTTAGGGAGCATAATGTTGGAGGCAAACTTTTGGTTGTTGTTCACATACCATACAATTCAGTGGTTTAAAGATATTAAAAAGTTGTGCAATCATCCCCACGAAAAATGGTGAAACATTTTCTTTAGTCTTACACCCATTGTTATTAGCTCCCCATTCCTGCTCAGCTTCCCCTACTGAAGTGCTTGTTTATTCTAGTTAATCTAGTCATTGTCTCTTATGGACTTACCTATCCTGGATTTCATAAATATAAAATCATACAAAACACCCCAACGATGACTGCAAAATGAAACACCGAACAAGAGAAAGTAGAAGCTAATAGAAACTAGAGCAAATTGAAAAAGGGTCAAAAGAAAAACAAATGAATAAATAAATAAATGGGTCAGAAGGTAAAACAAATGACAATAAATTAAATTTCAGGATAACTACATCTACCGTAATCCACTTACCGCCGGAGGGCAAGACTATTCACTCCTTAGTCAATGGTCTAAGGGAGTTCAATGGAGGCGTAATCCGAGTGGAGACACTGCAAACAGAGTTTGAGCTTTCGCTTTGTCATCCGAAGGCAGACTTTTACTAGTTAAGGTGAACGATAGTTTGGTTTTAAGAAGACTTTAGGGGATCCCAATGTTTTAATTGTTATTTCAAAGATGACTATTGACAGTTTTCTTATTTTCTTTCCATAACCTTTCTGGGCACATATACAAAAACTGAAAAACATCACTAGACTCATAGTCCATTGATTTTTTAGTGCTTCCTAAAACTCAGCAAAATCTAACCTCCCCACAATGGAAGTACATACAGATCTATACTATTCTTTAACACATACATGAGATCTATCGCATGGCCTATGATCTGTTTAATCAGTTCCCTGTTGTTGAATATTTGGGTTATTTCTGATATTTTGCAGTTATATCACTGAAGTGAATACCTTTAAAAAAATCATTTTACTGGGGGCTCGTAAAGCACTTATCACAATCCATCCATCCATCCATTGTGTCAGCACATTTATGAACAACCTTTTAAACACAATGTTGCATGTTCGTGTGAGTTTTTCTAAGAGATAAATTTTCTGGGTTAAAAGGAATATGTATACAATACTCTGATAGCTGTTTATTCAACATTTACATACCAAATACTTATACAGTAGGCACTATATTTGTGTTCTGTGCTGAGGTCACCACAGCAAGCAAGAGAGTCAAGGTCCCTGCTCTCATGGAAACTATATCCCCACCCCTCAACCATAGTGGCATGGTGGATTATGCGTCAGGCTGCTAACCCACAAGGTCAGCAGTTCAAAACCATCAGTCACTCTGTGGGATAAAGAGACAAGGCTTTCTACTCCCGTAAGGAGCTACAGGCTCGGGAATCCACACAGGCAGCTCTACACTGGCCTATAGGGTTGCTATGAGTCGTAATCAACTCAGTGGTAGTGCTTTTGGATTAGTTTTACACGCCTCCCCCAAATTTCTCTTCAAAATAATGAATGGTATGTGATCAATAGACTCCACTGCTGTGGTCCGTCATCAAACCTATTCTGACTCGTACTCAGCCTCCCAGGGACTTCAGAAAGTTTGAGGGAAGTTTTTCTCTTCAGTTCCATTTTCCCATGAACTTTTTGGAACCCTCTCATAAGTGACAGGGCAGAACTGCTCGACAGGGCTTTGGAGGCTGTAATCTTTGACCGCAGCACATAGCTAGAGCTCTTTTTCCTGTGGAGCAGCTGGTGGGTCCAAACTGCCACGTGCAGTGGGCAGCCAAGCACTAATCTCCTTGTGCCACCTGGGCTCCTTGATGGATCGACTAGCTGGTTGGGAGCCTGGGGAATTCTGGTGGTGCTGTTGTGTTAGCACTGCACGGCTTGCTTCAAAGTTGGTGGTTCAAATCCTCCAGTAACTCATCAGGAGGAATCATAGGCCCTCTGCTCCCCTAAAGAGCTGCCGCCTCGGAAACCCTGTCTAGAGTCGCAGTGGGTCAGTCAACTTAATGGCAGTGGGGTTTTGTTGCTGTTGGGAGAGGCAGTGTGGAAGCATGTATCTTCGGAGTTCTCACATCAGACACAGAAATCAATCGCAAGCGAAGATGAGAAGCAGAAGTGTAAGAAAGATTATATTAAAAATAATCCATGGGGTGGAAAACCGTATCAAAGCTTAAGGGAAACTGAGAAACTAGGTAAGGTAGAACTGACAGATTTGAGTTTTGTAAAGGAATGAAAACTTTTGTATGATAAAAGACATCAATACCTGTTTGGAGACAATGCATTGAAAATAAATATTTGTAATAGTCACAGAAAATAGGAGATTAATGTACACAACCTATAAAAGGGAATTACAAGTTAGAAAATTATAGAGAAACTGAAGAGCTAAAAGGCATAATACACAGAATTCTTAGAAGATGAAATATAGTGAGATTGAAAGTTGTTCAATCTCCCTGATGATCAGAACAATGCAAATTAAGCCACGGGGTGCCATTTTTCATTCATTAGAGTAGCAATTTTTAAAAACCCAAGGGGATACAAAATTACTTTCAAAGTCTACTGGG